AACGTTCGTTAGGTTCAAATATTGAAAACTGAATAGGGGGGTGTTCAGCCCATCAAATAGGGAGGTTCAGTCCATCACTATATAGAACCTTAAACCCACAGATATTCCTGAGGAAGGCAAAAAATCCTATAGCTAAAGCATGGTCCAATTTGCTCCAGTGAAGAAAAAAAATCTTCCCGATCCTTGAAATAAATTGGATATTTGTTGGATCAAAAATCTCTGGTGTTATTTCCTATGCATGTTAATATCCAATTGTATTATGTGCATTTGGAAATGCATTCAGCTCTATTTTAAAACAATCAAAATAGCTGGCCAGGACTAGTTCCTGAGGGAGTCTATTACACATTTTCACAGCCTTTCTGTATGTGGAGGTTAGCTTCCTTTTCCTCCAAATGAATTGCCCCTTGTCTTTTGTAATGACCTTAAAGTGAATACATTTGCACCAAGGTCACTTATGTATTTATACCGTCTGTTATAAGGGTCTGGTATAGATGAACGAATCCCTAGCCACCTTGTTTACAGAGTGAAGTAGCCAGAAGCTGACATTTACCAGCAATTTAAACAGCATTTTTTTCTTTGTAAATGTCAGTTTTGCTCTAGGAGGTTGTATGCTTCATACAGACGACCCACTGCATAGATAGGTTAAGGGCACCCCCAGGCATGCATTTTTACTGTTGCCCTTTAAGCATTATTAAAAACACTGCTGTCCATCAAACAAAAGTTTTAAAAAATATTTTTTTCTTTGGTACATATCCTCCAGAGCAGTGCCCAGTCCCCCATGCCTTTTATTTGACAACCTCTTGCCTATTATCCCAGAAAATGACCATTACTGTTTTTTTAAATATTTGGCTTCCATTGACATCAATAGGGCTTAAATTCAGCATTCAAGCTTCAGAAATGTTCGTCAACAGCCCAAACTGAGTCCAGGTACGTTGGCTAATTACTAGTCATAACAGCGCAGGTTTAAACCAGGACAAACTTGCTCAGCTCTCTGAAGGAAGCGATAAGAACAAAATAAGAGTTCCTAATTGTGCTTTTTTACTAAATATTAGTATTACCTACAATTCAAGTGAATTCTTGATATTTCACCTACATATCAAGTCTTGGTTCAACCCTTTTTTTTAAGTCAAGCGTGCAAATGTACATTATTATTATTATTATACAGTATTGATAAAGCGCCAACAGTTCGCTCAGCGCTGTACATTACAATGGGAGACAGAACATGCGACAGTACTATAACAATACAGTGTGATACACGAGGGGTTCGAGTGCCCTGCTCTTTCGAGCTTACAATCTAGGAGGGAGGGGATAGTGGTACAGGAGGAAATGGCTGTGGGGGATGGAGTGGTAGGAAGAGTGGAGGAGGTTGGCAATTAGCAGGGGGTGGGGTAGGCTTCCCTGAAGAGGTGGGTTTTCAGAGTGCCCCTAAAGGAGAGGAGAGTAGGTGATAGTCTGATGGATTGGGGTAGGGAGTTCCAGAGGATGGGTGATGCCCTGGAGAAGTCCTGGAGGTGGGCATGGGAGGAGGAGACCAGGGAGCTAGAGAGAAGGAGGTCTTGTGAGGAGTGGAGAGTGCGTGTTGGGTGGTATTTAGATATTAGGTCGGTGATGTAGTTTGGGGCAGTATGATGGACAGCTTTGTACGTCAGTGTTAGGATTTTGAATTTGATCCGTTGGGCAATCGGAAGCCAGTGGAGGGATTGGCAGAGGGGGGTGTCGGAAACGGAGCGATTGGTAAGGTGGATGAGCCTGGCTGCCGTATTCAGGATCGACTGAAGCGGGGATAACCTGTGGCGAGGCAGGCCAGTGAGGAGGGAGTTGCAGTACTCAAGTCGTGATATGATGAGGGAGTGGATGAGCTGCTTAGTGGTTTCCGGGGTTAGGAACGTGTGGATGTTGGCGATGTTGCAGAGGTGGAGTCTGCATGAGTTTGTTAGTGATTGGACTTGGGGCTGGAAGGATAGATTGGAATCAAGTATGACATTCTGGTCCTTAACTCTTTCTCCAAAGCTCTAAAAGCTCTACGATTTGTAAGAGCCAACCCATTGTTAAAAATATGCGTACCACCACTTCCATTTTATTGTATGGTGGAAGGAACAAAATAATCTTGGAGACCCATCCTTCCCTTCAAATGATGTAGCAGAGGGTCAGTCCTAGACTAAAATAAAAGTATGTAAGAATGTTGTTATTATTATTATATAGGATTTATATAGCGCCAACAGTTTGCGTAGCTCTTTACAAAATGAAGGCAGACATTATCGTTACAATACAGTTTGGTACAAGAGGAAACAGAGAGATCTGCTCATTAGAGCTTACAATCTAGGAGAATATTAGTCATAAAGGCTTGCTGCAGTGAAAAAAACTCAACTTTCTAAAACAAGACCAGATAAATGTGACTAACTACCCTAGCTAGTGGCCGAATATGTTATAGTCTATATGTCTATATGCAGTATATTATAGTTAATTTACTACACAATATTCTTAGCAAACTAAAGTCAAGGCATTAAGTGATCACAGAAAGTAGGAACTGTTTTTGCTCCAGGCACAGTGATTATGTCACTATCCTGTCTTTGCTGAAGTTCACTGAGCTGAATTGAACTGTAGTACTCTTTATTATGATTTGTAGCTCTTTCCAATAAGTACTTAAAAATATTATACAGGTATTTCAGTTAGAGCATCACTTCTCAGTCAGGGTTCTGTGGAACCACAGAGGAACCTTCAGAGATTGCTAGGGGTTCCTTGACAAGTGAGTAATGGTGGATTGATCTCCTGTCTACAGTAATGTAAGGGGATAATTTTCTATTGACTATAAATGTAATGGGGTAATACACTGACCTTTAGTGTGCAAGGAAACTAGAATTTTTAGTGCCTGTGCTTTTTGTCCATTATTATTATTTCAGAATGGGCACAGTGGGATCAGTGAGGAGTGGGGGGGGGGGGGGGCTGATGTGCTGTGAGTGTAGGGTGAGGTGATGGGAAGGTCTGTGAAGCAGGAGTCAGGGAGGGCTAAAGGGGGTGCTGTGAGGTGGGGACTTGGTATGAGCAAGGCAGGTGCTGTGAGCAGTGGGCAAGGTGACAGTGGAGGGATATGGTAATACTGGGTGGAGGTAAGAGTGAAGGGATATGCTGCAAGGTGGGAAGTGAGGTGGCTGTGGGAGATGTATTATGATGGAGAGATTGAGGTGGATTCTAATCTTGGATACGGTCCCTTATCTTCTCCTCCAATAGTTTACATACTTTTGATGTTAGGCTGACTGGCCTGTAGTTTCCAGGTATATATCTTGGCTCTTTTTTAATATTGGTATTAGCTTTACGTCAATCAGCTGGTATCACTCTAGTCAGTAAGCTGCCCTTAAAGAATTAGGAATAATGGCCTTATATTTTATTATAGGATAATTTTTTTTCTTTGCCTTTTTACGCTGGAGTTTAGCCACCCAGGTTTAACTTTAGTTCTTTTATATTTGTTGCACATTGAAATACACTGGCTAATGCTATTAACTAACATGTTCTTAAAATACCCCTGTCTTTCTTCAGTGTTTTTTGTTTCTATAATATCTTCCCATTTATTGTTGGCAAGTATGGATCTCAGTTTAGTAAAGTTTGCTCTTTTGAAATGTAATGTTCTTATCCCACATTTGTGTCTTCTTTTCCTTTAATTTACAGTGAAAGTAAGTACTCTATGGTCACTATTCCCCAAGTTCCCTTACTCCCATGTCTGCAATCAGATTACAGAATTTTTTTCAAATGTTTGTACAGAAATTCAGAAGAATCGTTTGCCCGAGCACTTGATAGTACTAATTAAGACATGACAAATGTTTTCCTAAAAAAATGGTTTGATTGCCATGCCATTGTTTTTAATTCTATGTTAGATTTCAGGATGCTCATCTTCATTACAGTAACAAGTAATAAGTAACATTTTTTTGAAGACCACATTCAAAGTTACAATTGTATAATTTCATGAACAGTACTAAAATACTATGTATTATTTATGTAAAAGCCTGGGTTAGAGACATCTCTTACCTGATATAGTCTAGATATGTCATGATTTCATGAATGACCACAGGTCACATAGATCAAAGATCAGCTGTACCATCTATTACAGACTGGTCATCCTGGACCTTTTGTTTCAGTTTTTTCAGTTTTGTTTCAATACTTGACCAATATTTTCACTATTTTTCTATATATCATATAACAGACAAAACACAGGAAATACATTGATACTGATAATAGCCCTTAAAATGTCTACTAATTAATTTTGCAGATTTGCCAATTTTTTTTTTTAATTCAGGGGTCAGAGTTTTTCTGGCAAAGCAAATTTTGTGTATAAGACCTGCTCTGGTGGGGGCAATTGCTTTTATTACAGGCGCATCTCTGCTCCCCAGTCTTCAAAAAACTGGGGGGTGCAATTATAGATTTTACCTTCACCTCCACCTGTAGGTGCATCCAGTATCTTGGCCAGTGTGTCCAGATATAATGGCACTCAATGATGAGCACCAGTCCCCCAAGATGTGTGTTTAACTGCTACATTAGCATCCTGCTGTTTTTAGTACAAAGTTGTTATCATTTTTCTAAGACTCAGATAAAGTGACCCATATCATTTGGAGTATACTGTAAGATCGTATTTTGTGGAAGCCTTAAAACTCACCATTTGCTCTGTTTGCTCTATTGCTCTATTATCAGCAATTCCAAGTTTGGAAGTTTGTACTTTTTAACACGGTAGCTTAAATGTATTTATTAATATGCCCAGCTAGGCCAGAAACATGCACAGTAATCTGAACTGAGCCCATTATAGCAAGAATGGCACATTTAATTTGCACAACTGTGTATGACAAATCTACACTTCACAAATAATACCGTGGGTAACAAATAACACTTCTTAAAGGATCTTTTCAATTTTTATTCACTGCTTTGTTTTTAGAACGATGCCATCAATCCTGAAGATTTCCCAGAATCTGTCTTTAGAACATTCCTCATGCAGCTCTGCCCTCGGCCAGAGATTGATGAAATCTTTACCTCCTAGTAAGTCTTTCAAAACTGTGAAATTAAATAATTAGATTATTGTAATACAAAATGTGCATTTGCAAAATATTGATGTATCTTTTTCCATATTGATGTTAAAGAGGCTCTGTTACTTCCTCTGTTCAAAACAAAGTGACTGAGTCTTTTTGAAACCCACCACCAACCCATTTATAGTCACAATTGCGTCCCACCAGGGGTGGAAGTTAAGCCTTGTGTACGGTCCTTGTCAGACTGATTTTATCGTCTTTCCCGTCACATGACAGTGCTCAGGCTTGGTGATTAGCTGCTCAAGCCCAACCACTGTATCCTGAGGGAAGGTCACATGAAATCTGCAGCATTTCGAGAGAGCTCCAATGGACCAGTGGGCAAGGGGTGGTACATGACAAAGGCAAGCGTAAATGGGTGAGCGTTTAAAAGATTTGTACTTTGCCCCGAATGAGCAAAAATTTATCTTTTAAAGGGTTTCTCCATTAATCTTTTTTGGACACAGACAGTGGCCACAAGAAGGCAAGAAATCTGTCATGGGAAACCATGGAAATGGGTATAGAGCAGGATGTACACCTTTTTTTGCGCAGGGGTTGCACTTATTAGGATATAATTGGGTCATGGTTGTTGGTGGCAACAAAAGCAGAACACCAAAAATTTACAAACTAATGATATAATAACAGTAGTAATAATAATAATGATAATAATAATATAATAATAACATAAAACATTACATTATGTTATGTTTAGATCTGTGGTCAGACTATAACCTTGCAAAATATTTGATGACTTTCCTACAATGTGGTGCCATAAATGCACTCCATGTGAAAATATGATTTTATTTATATAATATGGTCAGAAATGAAAATGTAATTTACAACAATTGATTTTTTTGTTTAAATTTGTTTAAATTTTGTTACATTATTACATATAATATGTAGCATTTTCTTAGACAGCAGGTTGGATGCTACTCTCTTGTACACATGTATTCCAGACACTGTTTACCAGTCTATTGTAAATAGCCCATTTTTACAGAGCAGTAGATCATGCTGCAGTTTACACACAGCACAGAATGATTTCTCAGCAGTGACTTATCAGAGGGGTCAGTCTGGAGTTTCAGTCAGGCAAAGACAGATATGAGGTAGGCTACTGCTGAGCATGTTTTTAGATAGCCCATGCTGCTCTGGGAATCATTTGTCATGCATTAGATGTTTATTTGTATAACAAAGATTGCATTCATATAATAAAAAACAGATATAGACTATCAGTTAAAAAAACTTATAAACATAAACTTATCTTTTTTTGCATTTTAGCCACTCCAAAGCCAAGCCTTATATGACAAAAGATCACCTTACCAAATTCATTAACCAGAAGCAGAGAGATTCAAGATTAAATGAATTGTTGTTTCCGCCTGCTAAGCAAGAGCAAGTACAGACTCTCATAGAGAAATATGAACCTAGTGCTATCAACAAGCAGAGAGGTGAGATTTGTGCACAAACTTCCAACAATTTTGAGCACTTACAATGTGAGTTCCGGTGTCCAGTGCACCAAAAAGACATTTTATAATATATAAAATATAGAAAAAGTTTATTGCTAATAGTAGTAATACGTCCTTGAATCTGTACAAAGCATATCTGCAATTCCTCAAATATAATTTGGTCTTCTTGGTTTAGCCATGTTGTTCTAAAGAAAGCTCACATGTTTACTGCAGAAATTTTCAAATGAAATCAGCTGTGTGTAGAGCTTATACCTTTAATAGTTAGACCCTTATCATACGTTTATTCATTTCTGATACATTTTTTAAAGCCTTTGAAGGTGAACCCCTACTTCAAAATCCTGATATGTTGAAGTTTTGAAAGGGTGGGAGTGCCAGCTTGTACAGACTTTTTAAAAGATTTTTATTTTGTAATGGCCAACACATTTCGGGGGAGCTCAGCACTTCCCCTTTCATCAGGGCTAAAAAGAGGATGATGCAGACACTTGGATTGGAAAGGTTATCCTGAAATCCTGATATGGTAACACAAAATTAATATACTGTATCACGTTTTCATATTGTGTTCATATTCAGGAGTGAAGTACATGAGTTGAGTTTATCCATGGATTGGATGAGCTGGAGAGGAAGGGTGATGACACCATGATCTCAACCTTGTCCAGTCAGAGAACACTTTGTATTCTGTGAATGGCAGCAGTGCTGAATACCCCTCTGATCAGTTTACAGAGTAGTCATTTGCAGAGAACCCAATCAACCTGGAAGATTGTGGCTATCGCTGTATTAGTGCCAATTACTACAGTGATTTTCAGCTTCCCCAGCAGCCCATGAGGAATGAGATATGCATGCTTACATGGTGCCAAGTTGGACCAATGTAAGTATGCAATTTAGATCATTTTTCGATCTTAGCTTTAAAGGCAGAGAAATTGACCTTAGAAGTAATTAAAAACTTTGTACTTTGTAAATCACTTTCTTCTGCATTTAAATGTACCTGCATTTGTATCAGTTTGCAGATATTAACAACATGTTTACATGCATTTAGATATGTACAGAGTATTTAATCTGCTCATGGATATATAGTGGTTGATTTTTCTAAAGGCAAATAGACCGTGCACTTTGCAAAGTGCAGTTGCACTCTGCAAGAGCAGTTGGTCCAAATTTTAGTTAATGAGCAGAAGCTCTGCTAATTACCATCATCCAAGCAAGTGCAAGCAAAAATGCTGTTTTTTTCTTTTATTTTCCTTGCACGTCATTGGGTATTCTTTGTAAAGTGAAGCTTTACCTCATTTACTAAGCTCTGGAGTAACTGCACTTGGAGAGTGTAACTGTACTTTCCAAAGTGCACAGTCTATTTGTCTTTAATAAATCAAACCCACAAGCTTCTATTTTTTCTAAACTCAAGTAACCTGGATACACCAAAACGTAGATAAATGCGCAGCATGAATTATACCTTTAAATGGTATAGATTGAATGTCCTATAAATGCATGTACTGCTGCTGTGTAAATGAGCCCTTACTGGTATATATTTTTCTTCCCATCAGTGACTGTTGTCTTCTCTCTAGGGCAGCTGTCTCCGGAAGGTATGGTCTGGTTCCTGTGTGGCTCTGAGAACAGCATTGTGTCATTGGACAAAGTACCTGTACACCAGGACATGAACCAGCCATTCACTCACTACTTACTTATCAACTCTTCACACAACACTTACCTCACAGGTATACCCTCATATCTTATTTCTTAACAACTGCTAAAGTATGTAGCTTAAACCAATAGCAACCATAAGCTTTAGTTTTTCCTAATTATGTTTCTGGCTTGTGGGTAGAGCTTTTACTTTTCTCTGATGTATGTAAAATGTCATTATTTACTTCAAGCTGAGTGCCAACATGATCTAACCTTACCTTAAAAGTGTTATTTCAGAAAAAGGTAATGAGTCAAACTGTTAGTCATTCAAATTTGGACACCATGGGGCAGGGGCGGACTGACAACTCATGGGGAGCCCGGCAATAAGGGATCATGGGGCATTTGTGTACTCGCCCACACTCAAACCACACCCAAAAAAGCCCCACTTACATAATGCACTGGCCACATTACATGTGTTTGTGGCAGCCATCCTTCACATATTGCAGCACAGCTGTGCAGAAGCGCCCATCAGCAAGCTAATGCCCACTTCTTGTCTGCAAATTAGGCTCATGGAGATTCCCACTGGCATTGCTGGGAAGCCATTGAACACCTTCAAAGGTGGAGTGCGCGCCATCCAATAACCTGTCAGGTACCTGACTGTTTCCTAACCATACCTTCAGAAACCTCCATGGGCCTGATCATTTGGTTATTGCAGCGTAGCTGAAAAGAGGGGTCATTTAAATATCTACCACAGCATAGCCTGCATGAAAGTTTGGAACGTCTTTAGAAGTTGCTTGGCATGAGAGAGGAGGATGGGGGGTTGGGGGAGAGAGAAGGGGGGTAAAAAGAGAGATTGGGTGAGAGAGGGGGGGTGGGGGGGGGGAGAGAGGAAAGGGTAAACGAGAGATAGGGTGAGAGAGAGGGCAGGTGAAATAGAGGGGGGTAAATTAGAGAGGTGGTTGAGAGAAGGGAGTTGGGGTGGGGATGAAAGAGAAAGGGAGCTGAAACAGAGAGATGGCAAAATAGAAGGGGGGGTAAAAAAGAGAAAGGGTGATAGAGAGAGGCAGTGAGGAGGGTGAGAGAGAGGTGGGGGTGAGAGAGAGAGGGGGGTGAAAGAAAGACTGGGGGTGAGAAAAAGAGGGTGTGAGAGAGGGAGACTTGGGGGTGTGAGGGGGGTGAAAGAAAGTGAGGTGTAGGGGTGAGGGCAAAAGAGAGAGGGGGATGAGAGATTGGGGTGAGGTAGAGGGGGTCAAAGAGAGAGGGGGTGAGGGGGGGGGTAAACAAAGGGGGGTTCAGAGAGAGGGGGTGAGACTCTCCCTCCACATCCTCACTTTCCCCCAGCTCCTTGCCCCTCAGCTGCTTCCTGCACATCCTGTCTGGGCACACAGCCGGCTCTGCCATCCTCACTGATGGCACAGACAGCACAGCTTGAGGAGATGGAAGGGAGGACGTGATTGGGTTTCCGATGGGATTCCCAGCATGTGCTGCGTGTGTGCCCGGACCAAGCCGTGTACAGTTTCGGGTATCACAAGGATGGAGGATTACTCACTCATCATTGGCTCCTCCTCTCCGGTCTCTAGCATTATCTTGGGCTCTCGGTCAGCTTCCTCCATGGTTGTCTGCCTAGATTATTGTCGGTAATGTGAGCGACTATGAAAGGTACCAGTGAAATCTCATGGGGCCCCCTACTGACCCCGGGCCCTTGGGCAGTGCCCGAGTGCTCGAATGGTCAGTCAGTCCGCCCCTGCCATGGGGTATATTTAAAATGCTTTGATAAAAAATGAAGGAAACTCTTTTGATTCAACTCAAAACATAAAGAATTCTTCATCCCTTTACTTTTTTTCCCTATGATAGTTAGCCTGAAAGGAATCAATATCCAACTAGATTTTGAGGTTTAGATTATATTTATGGAGATTCCTTTCTTACTACACAATATTAAATATAATTGTTTTTCAATCCTCAGCTGGTCAGTTTTCAGGGGTTTCTTCACCTGAAATGTATAGACAGACTCTGCTCTCAGGCTGCCGATGTGTGGAACTTGACTGCTGGAAGGGAAAACCACCACCAGAGGAAGAGCCAATCATTACTCATGGCTTTACCATGACAACTGAAATTCTTTTTAAGGTGAGACGCTGTACAATATGGAAGAGTGATGATGAGTTTCTTCATTATAGGTATGACAGATGACAGTTGGTACATTCTAATGCTTGCATGTAACTATATTTTTTTTTATCATGGCCTCCTTATGCATTAGAACCTTTGAACACACAGCATACATTGCCTCAAAACCACCCAAATATGTGACTAATTCACAGCCTTTAGTTGTCATGCTTTAATTTGTAGAGTGTACTGAGACATTTTGAAAATTGAAGTTTATTCAGACTTGCTGAAGTTATTTCACCTCCTTCTTAGGCTTTGTAGACTGCCATTGTTTACCACTCCTTTTGAAAATGTCAGTTGGTTCACGTCCTTTATTTTGTATCTGTTTTGGTGAAAACTGGAGTAGCCTTGGAGAACAACATGTAGCTGATAATGAACCATGGAGGTTTTCTGATAGCTGTAGTCTTACAAGCATTTTCTCTTAATGACATCTGACTTCATAACCTGTTTTATTATAACCAAGAATTTATGTATTTTGCCTCCGAAAGATCAATATACTCAATAGTTGGTTCTAACTGGTGTCTCTGTTATTTGGCTGACAGAGCTATCATGACATTTGCATAGGTTTATTATACTTTGCCTTTCTTAAATATGAGAATGCCAAATACATATCTCTCATACTTATCTAAAGGCTTTAGTATTGTCTGAGTCACAGACTTAGAACAAGTATAGCGATAGTATTCTGACTTCACATCATTGGTTGCAAGGTCGCTCTGGGGGTTATTCACTAAAACTGGAGAGTGCAATATTTGATGCAGCTCTGCCTAGAAACCAATCAGCTTCCAGGTTTTATTGTCAAAGCTGATTGGCTACCATGCACAGTTCCACCAGAATCTGAGTGCACCCTTTTAAGTAAATCTACCCTTCTGGGTCCATGACTTAGAAAATGCCAAAGACCAAGGTGGCCAGGTCACTAGCATTTTTAGAAGGGCAACAGCAATGAAGGTCAACCTATTTTTTTCAATAAAGGTTTAATCTGTGTAGAGGAAAACAGAATCCAACTAAATATAATTTCCTAACCCATGTGTTTATTCTTGTTTCCCATATTTCCAACTTTATTTATTTAATATATTTATTGGGTTTTTTTTGCTTTGTTTTCTCTCTTTTTCAGTTCTTTTTAGAGGGAAATATTCCTGTTTTACCTAGACAGAGTGATTAATATAGTCTTCCATGAATTCTTGCATGCTGCCATATTCCATGTATAAAGTTTCCATCTGACTTCATCTCAGGGTTGAGAATGTACAGACCTTATCCTGCCTTCCATCTGACAGTAAAAATACCCATTAGAAAATTTTCTGTGACTTTTTACTGGCTGCTCTCTGCATTCTGTCACACTGGCTTGTGTTTGCATAATTCATTCTCCCTATGACAGAACAAGAAATCTTACCATTCATTACAGTAACACAATGTACTTCCGCTCTGTGAGATACATTGTGAAAAGGCACTGCCTGCAACATCTTTCTCTATGAAACAAAACACTGGTGTTGAATCCATCTGATGGATTTCATTTTAACAAATATTAAAAAAAAAAAAAAAAACAATGCTGCTATTGCTAACTAAAGCTGTACCAATCGTCCAATATCAGCCATTAGCTGTATACAATAAATGTAATTTTTAATGAATGGAATCTGTGAAAAGTCTCATAAATTACAAAATTGTATTTTATCATTTTTATTAAAATTGTACTTAGAACCCAACTGAATTTTCAGTTTAAAATAGCTAAATATATTGCAGGTGTATCAAAGCAAAAGGTGTTCAAATCTTACAGTTTGTTCTCTTTAAAAAGCAGCCACAGCATGAGTAAAATAAACCTGTACCCTGCCAGCATGCTGCAAGGTGCGACCCTTGCTCTCTTTGTGGAGCCAGTGATCCTACTGTATCAGAGCCAGAGCTTCAATCAGCAGGGAGTATGGGTATTGCTGTTTGCAGAGCTATAGGTATGATGCAGAAGGAGCTGTGTTAGCTGCAAAAGAACGCAAGTATCCTAGTCTGTAAGTGCTGGCTGTGGAAGGCTTCATCCTCAGGCTTTAGCAGCTTTAAAAAATAAAACTAACTTAGCACACCTTTTGTTTTGATGCATCTGGAAATGTATTTAACTGATTCCAACTAAAATTTCCTTTGGACTTCAACTTTAAAAATGATTATCTTAATAGTAGACACAAGTGAAAACTGAAAATGAATCTTGAAGGCCGGTTCACTCCGGGATTGCACAGGAACATGGTGCACATTCCTCTGCGATTCCTGCATGTTCCCGTGTGATGCGATTTTGCAGCATAATAATTCGAATAGGCTGAAATCGAACTGGAACATAGAGTAGTGCATGCACCACGTTTAAAAAACGCGCTGCACAAAATTGCATAATACTGTGGTACCATGTGATTTGGTGCCTGCAAATGCACTATATTTGCAATCTACATCTTGGGTGTCGATAACATCATATTGGCATCTGCAGAAAATTGCAAAGGCAGTGCGTTTTGAGCAGAGTGCAGAAAATGTGCACCAAATGTGCCTTTCCCATACTGTGTGAACATGTGAATCGGCCCTTAGATGCTTACAGGGAACTCAACCTTCTACATAGCTCAGTGCCAAATGTGACGAAGATGAGGAGTACTATGCAAGAAATGGAGAAGCCATACATTTAAATCAAATGTTTTTAATGCAGTTTGTGAAGCCAGTTCCTTTTTTTGGGCAAGTTGACGCCCTCTTTGTTGGGTGTATACATCAGACAAGCATGGAGAAAACAAGATATGATAATGATGATGAAAATAGTTATTATTTCCCATTATTATTATTTTTATTATCACTACTACAATTATTATATGTATCATATTTATTTGTGGGTTCTTGTATCATCCATTTATGATTACTTGTATTATATTACTATATTGTGGTGCATCTATGTTAATATTG